ATTGTAAAAGGTTGTTCCCTCACTCGCTGCTGTTTTTGTGTATAATTTGTGCTGTGCAGTACTGTATCAGGACACAATCGGCCAAGAATACAGTACTATATTAAGGCAGCGTTAAGATGTAAAAAGTGATTACAGTTACATATGTTGTACTGTACATTCAGTAACTGGGAAAAACTGGAGCACCTTAACTTTCGTCTTTATTCAAGACATCTTCAGGTCATGAGACCCACTAGTCCCCCACCCCGACAATGGGTCAGTAACATAAGACCCACTAATCCCCTAACCCACCTCCATCACAGATGTTAAGATGTAAGAAGTAATTACAGTTACATATTACATACAGCAGAGTGGACAGTATGCTTACTCTAAGCTCAAGACGACAACATCTGCTGGTGAGTACAATACAGTACATACAGTATACAGTGGTAATAGTACTGTAGAGGGATGTGCCATTTAGCAATCGGGATGTGTTCCTGAAAAACAGATCGCTAAGTGATTTGATCGCTGAGAGAACAGAAACGAGAAATAATATCTTGAAAAAAGGATAATGAGGAATAATATCCGTGGAGATGGCACGTAATTGTGTAGCGGAGTCGCGTGGCCGACTCACCACCCAGTAGCACTCACAGCGGGTGAGGCGGAGCTGTGAGATGTGTTATTCTTCAACTTGTAATTTCAGGTAGATATACATAATTGTCTTCATTTTCTTGTACTGTACTCTGTTACATGTACACACATTCATTCTTACAGAATGAGCAGAAAAAATTATCATAAGAGTCAAAACATAAAGGGAATACAGTAAACAGTTCTTATCTGGTCCGCTGTTAGCCGACAAGAGCGGAGGGGGAGGGAGGAGCAATCACTTTAGTACACAATATCACAATAGTATAGGCCGGGGTAATGAACAGTCCGTACAGTACTCAATAACACGCCAAAGTCACAACAATAACAGCGATGCACTGCAATAAGATGTCCCCACACACAACGCTTCCGTGACGCCTGCTGGACCACCACTCCACGACCCCCTGACGGAGACACGATGATCCTCCCCATACTGGCCAGATATTATGTAAATAACATTGATTATGTGTTAAAGGAATATCCTTCCTTCCTTCCTTAGGCTTTAGTAAGCCCCTTTATAATATTTATACTGTATATACTTGTCACACTTGCCAGATGCTTCTGGTGTTATTGTACAGGGGTACCTAGTGACAGCACTAGGATCCCGCTTTCTCTATCAAGGAATAAACAATTGAAATTGAAAAATTGAATAGGAATGATGCACAGCGATCAATAATATACAGAGCAATATAGTAAAGCACAGACCACAATGTTCAAAGGCAGGGTAAACACTTCTGTAGTAACGGCCTGAGTTCATAGGTGGCGCGCCGGTAGCATACCCCTACAATACGTGATTTCTATATAATAAACCTAGATATGTATCCCCTCTGGTTATCAAAAAATTAAAATTTCTGCTTTTTGCTGGAAAAGCTAGATACTAGTATTGATAAAATAATTTTTAAAATTCAGGTTGGCTGATTCATAGGAGGTGTTACCGTCCGCACTGTGCGAGCAGTAATGGTGAAATTTAGGATAACATATCTGAGTGTTATGATAACAATAAAATGGACAAATAGTTGAAGGCGTGAGGCTAGCAGTGTTAATGGTATCAGTTCTGCTGAAACAGCACGCGAGCTGATGAGAGATTTGTTGTTGCGATGGCCACCCGGGCCCCCGAACAAAAACATATGGCAATATTTCACAACTGATCGCTCTAAACACAGCAGAGGCTTCATCTGTCCTGGGTGTGGACAGTTCAAGACACACCGTCGAGCTGTGAGCATTACGAGTATCACTTACAGACTAGTTATAGGACCCGTTACACTAAGTCTATTCCCATACGAGGCTTTATTGTTCTAAACTCTTATGCATTGGGAGATACTATGAATACATCTTTGTAATTATCAGATGAGTGTGTAGTAAATGCTGTTACCTTTGTATACAATATGAAGCTGTTATTTGTCACCTGACTTATAATCCACAAATCATGGGTAATGTAACTT